AAACTAGTTTTAAGCAAGAAGGTACTTGTATCGCTGAAGTCACTCGGAAAGAATTTTTACCGGAAGTTATGAAACAAGCAGATACATAACAGTATTAATGTTCGATTTACTGATGACAATGTTCCAGTTTAGATTCAACTGGATTAGTGAGCTTGTAGGATATGGAGAACTCCTGGCGAAGCTGTAAAAGTGAACTATTGAGCTTATAAAGATACATTCTAGAGATATAGGTCGTTATTTTATGTACTTTAATAGAAATGGCTCGTAATAAACTCCAGTGTGTGTTGAATAAAGTTAAGAATTATAATGAGATTTATTTATCTTGACTTGTTTCCGCATCCTATGTTCTAGGACTAGCAGTGACATACATTGTCGAGTTTAAACACTTGGAAACGTCAACCACTTTTTCTTTCTTTTTATTTTTACGCTATCGTTAAGCCTAAGTAATAGACAGGGTGTTGTTATGTTATATAAGAAGGAATGCGGGAAGTCAGTAACTTTATGTAAATAATCTTTTCTGCCTTCAAATAAAATCAATTCTTTGCATTTTTGGAATTAAAAATTTTAGGTCTTCATGCAAAATACTGTAAAACTTAAAGAAAGACATACTTTGGAATTTATTGGTAAATTATTAAATTTAGGCTTAAGCCTTAAACACAGTGTTTTACTTTTAGGGCATAACGTTAGTTTTCGGGTAATAACTTTTCTAATACATTAGTAGCTTCGTTTTCTGCAAATCCATGGTCAGTGAACTTACATATACAGCAGTTTTAACAGACTCTCCAACTCAGTTTGTAAAAGATCTTCCTTTCAAAATGTCTGGTCATGCAAAACGAAAATGGGAAGTATTTCCTGGAAGAAACAAGTTTTACTGCGATGGACGAATCATGATGGCTCGGCAAACAGGAGTGTTTTATTTCACCGTTGGCCTGATTGTAGTGACATGCACCTTGTTTTTTATCTTTGAGTAAGATTTTTTTATGGTTTTGTAATGTGATAGTGTATCTTTACATTATAAAATAGATTATTTGTTTTGGTTGTTGAAGGTTTTTGTTGGCTTTGAATAACCTTATAATTACTGTGTGTGTGTGAATTTTTAAACATTTTTCTGAACTAGTTGTGCATGACACTAGTGGGTCCATGACTGATAGTGTTACTTCCAGGGTCTTCAAAAATATAAAAAACAGAAATAAGGGATTATTTGGTCCTTCTCTTCAAGGTTGTTATTTCACATTCTCTCTTGTGAAATAGAAACATTTAAACTCATCCCTTTCATTTTCATGAATATATTGATTCCCCTCTTAACCTCCCTTAAGGCTTAAGTTAAGGTACTGACAACTAATACTACTGACAGTAATTCATTTAATACATTAGTCATGCCATTACAAAAATAAAACTGTCTTAACTGAAAACTAGCCTCATTTCTTTTTTGCGAAATATTATATGTGTTCTCTCATCCTATTGGCTTCAAAATACAGGATTATCCTGCCAATCCTCTTAATAACTTGTAAACTTCAATTAGATCACCTCTTACATAACATACTGACAACAAGGAACCATTTGTTCCTTCAGGGCTGTCCTTTCACAACTACCCTGACAAACCTAAATATTTAAACACCCCTTTCATAAAAACATCAGTTTCTCTTAAACTCTTGGAAAGTGATGGGCTCCACTACTTTTAGTTTAAGTCTTAACTGGAGCCTATCTTGCAAGATTTTCCATATCTTAATGCTTGTGTTGGGGGATAAGTTGTCTCATTGCATAGAAAAAGCAGAATGTTATTATAAATGAAGTTCAATTAAACTGGATTAATGTCTCAGGTGTTGTGGTACCTCAGGGTTTGGTGTTAGTATTGTTGCTCTTTTTGATTTATATCAGTGACATAGATAAAGAAATGGTCAATAAATTACTTAAATTTCCTGTTGATACTTAGGTCTTGAGTATTGCTGGCTATGGGGAGAATGTTTCTGCATAACAAAAAGGCTTAGATCATTTGGTGAGTCAGGAATAATAAATTCAAAGTTAATGCATGTTGGTTACTATAATTTAAATTATAAGTATGATTTGATGAGAATAACTGTAACAGTGTTATGGAAGAAAAGGATCCTGTTTTGGATCATCAGTCTCTTAAACCATCCAAGCAGTGTTTTATTGCTAGGGCAAGCAGGACTTTCAGTTGAATCCACAGAAATATTGAATGCAAGTCTAAAGAGGTTATACTTTCATTGTGTAGGTCACTGATTAGGCTTTGTTGTAGTTGGTCTTGGGCTCCTTACCTTAAAAAAGGACAGTGAATTGTTTGAAAGGATTCAGAGGAGGGCTACTAGAATGATACCTGAATGGAAATATTGTCATATTAGATCTCTGAAATTATTTTTTCTTAAAGAGTTATAGGGGATACAGTTGAGGTGTTTAAAATTGTTCAGGGAATTGATAGTGTTAATGCATTGTATTTTTTTCACATTTAATGATGGGGATGGTAAGACTAGAGGAGACAAGTATAAATTTTGACAAGGTAGGAGTCATCCTCAGCTAAGACAGCTATTTATCTAACAGGGTGGTTGGTCTTTGGAATGGGCTGCCTTAAGATGTGGTGGTTACAAAAAAATTTAAGGGAGTTTAAGGCTTGATAAATATTTAAATGATAAGGACTGACTGTGAGTTTGTTTTGAGACAGACAAAATTGACCAACAGGTTCCTTGTCCTTGCATAATATACAGTCTTCCTTTTGAATGAAAAGCAACTTATATTTAAAAATTTCCTAAATCTATCCCATGTTACCTTTTAATTCATTATCCCAATTTACTAATGAAAAATGGATTTTTATCTCAACATATAGCAAAACATCAAATCTAATTATGCAATGATTACTATTCTCCAAATGTTCCCCCTAATGTAATTCTTACAACAAGATCTTCTTTAGTGGTTAACAGTAAATCAAGAATGACATCATCCCTGGCTGGCTTTCTATAATTATTGCATCAGAATTATAACATAACATAATATTTTGGGACAACATGGGATCTATTGGTCCAGCTAGGCTGTTCCATCCTCAAAACTAAAATTTAAATTATAAAAAAAATAAACCCAGCCCTTTTCATTCATATACTTATCAAGCTTTTTCTTAAACTAACTTAAAGTTACTGCTCTACAACATCTGAAGGCAACCCATTCCAAAGGCCAATCACCTT